TCCACTATTTTTTTTTTTTTTGATGCAAGTTCGTCTTGCTCTGTTGCCCAGTCTGGAATGTAATGGAGAGATCAAGGCTTACTACAGTCACAGCCTCCTGGGTTCTAGCAATCCTCTCACCTCATCCTCCAGAGTAGCTGGGGACTGTGGCATGCATGTGCCACTGTGATGAGCTATTTTTCTCTTTTCGTAAATAGAGGATCTCACTAAGTTATTCAGCCTAGTTTCAAACTCTTGGCTCCAGAGATCCTCCTGCCTCAGCCTCCCAAAGTGCTGGGATTACTGGTGTAAGCCATGATGCCTGGCCAGAATCCCCTATTTTCTAAAAACATTTTATATGCTTCTTTCTTCTGCTTTTTTGACATCTGTCATAGGCCTCTTCATTAGAGCCTTTTTATTCTTTTCACACCTCCCATGGTTGCGCATATACTTTATCTTCTTTATTTCTTGGCTATTTCTCTCATATTAGCCTCAATTCTATCTTATGTGTGAACAGGTCTACCATTTGAGCAGATCATGAAATTTGAGCAGATCATTAAAAAAATGTATCACTGATCCCTTTTGTATTACATTTTACATATGTATAGTTGTTTGTACATACTTGCATAATCTGGTAGTAGAAATAAACAGGAATGATCTGTGCGAAGACATTTGCCTTAAATGTGCAACTATGGGGGAGAGCAAACCTCACCTTGGGACACTTCCTGAATCTTGCTCGTCCTCCACTGTCAACCAGTAAATGCCACATTCTTGAAGTTAGGGATAAATTTGTACTGAAATTGTCAAGAAAGACAGTCATGAATAAAAACATGGTGAAATCTATTACTATTACACTAATGTTTTTCATTTAGTTTTCAAGTAGCCTAAAATTTTGTGTAAAAAAGAGTTTTAAATGATATTTAGAGATTATTTATAACCTTTCTATGATACCATTGTAGAAAAAAAAAGGTTTTCTTTGTTCCCAGAGCTAATACAATTGTTTCCTTTTATTTTCCATTCAAACATACAAACTAATTAAATTTATTGTAGAATTATATTTCTTCTTGGAATTTTTCAGAACTAATAAAAGTACATATGGCCACAAAAATAGGATTAGAGAAACTTACATGTGACATGCAAGATGAGCTCAAATCCTGTAAAGAGAACACTTGAAATTGAATTACCCTTTGGATTAACCTTAAAATTGCAACCATAAGCAAATGCATAGTCATTTTTTTCCCTGTAGTCTATTATCAATCTTTGGTAGACTTTGTCACCAAGTCTGTGTGTGTGTGTGTGTATTTTTTGTTTACATATAAATATATATTTTAATAAATAATATACATACATATATAAAATATATATATGTATATATATATATATTTATTTTTGGATGGAGTCTCACTCTGTCACCAGGCTGGAGTGCAATGGCATGATCTCAGCTCTCTGCAACTTCCAACTCCTGGGTTCAAGTGATTCTTCTGCCTCAGTCTCCCGAGTAGCTGTGACTATATGCACACACCACCATGCCCAGCTAATTTTTGTATTTGTAGTAGAGACAGGGTTTCACCATGTTGGCCAGGATAGTCTCGATCTCTTGACCTCATCATCTGCCTTCCTCGGCCTCCCAGAATGCTAAGATTACAGGCATGAGCCACCACACACAGCTAGTCACCAAGTATATTGTTTGAAAGGCAATTGAAGAAATGCGATGTAGAGTTTATTTTAAAGAACTGCCTATTAAATATTATAAATGTGTTTTCTTCATGCAAAAAAGGCATGTCAGTGATGTAGAAAAACATTAATTGATAGTAATATATTAAGACATCATGCTACTTTCATGTGACATTTTTGTCATTTCAAAAAGTTTGTAGACCTAGAGAAAACATTTATCTTTTCAATAGTTTGCATCTTGAAATTATAAATTTGACTTCAAATTTGCAAATGGTACATTGTAAAGAGTAAAATTCTTCAAACCATCTATTCTAACAAATTTCTGTCATAAATATTTATTCAGCAAACTTAATCTTGATTAAGAGTGGCAAATTTTAAGTTCCCCCTTGATGTCCCATATCTTCCCCACAAGACCAATTTTATCTCCCTCAATTGAAGGACTTTGGGATCCTGCTCTTCAAAATGAATCTGGCCCAATAGGATACATGACTCCAGTAAGACTGAAAGACATGGACACCCTTCTTTTTTTTTATCATTATTTCCACAGAGAGTACTGTTTAATTTTTTTAAAATTTATTTGTTTTATTTATTTATTTTATGACTCCATAACATAGTTAATTTCTGGCAACAACATTTTAAAATTTGTTTTATTAGATATCTGGAAACAAATCAGTGTCATCCAATGGTAAAATTTCATAGTCTGAAAATCAAGGATAAACCTGGAAGACATTAGGTTAAGTGAAACAAGCCAAGCATAGATATTCAAGTACTGCATGATCTCATTTGTATGTGGAATATGAAATAGATGAAATAGTTGAAGCAGACAGTATAAGAGTGGCTCTGAGAGGAGGGAGGTGAGGCTTGAGAGATGTTGATCAAAGGATACAAAATTTAAGTTTCTTGAACTAATAAGTTTAAGACATCTATTGTAAACATTGTATCTGTAGTTAATTACTATATTTTTGAAAACAGAATTTAAGTGCTCTTACCACAAAACATGTATATAACAGATGTTTATTAGCTTGATTTAAGCCATCGTACAAGCTATACCTATTTTAAAACAACACGTTGTATACAACAAATATATTCTATATATTGATTTAAAAATGAAATGAATTGAGAATAAAAATATCAAATCAGAGCCATGTAAGAATGGGTGAATATTTATGAAAGATAAGAATGTCTTGGCCGGGCACAGTGGCTCACGCCTATAATCCCAGCACCTTGGAAGGCCGCGGCTGGTGGATCACGAGGTCAAGACATCAAGACCATCCTGGTCAACATGGTGAAACCCCATCTCTACTAAAAACACAGGGCATGGTGGCACATGCCTGTAGTCCCAGCTACTCAGGAGGCTGAGGCAGGAAAATTGCTTGAACCCAGGAGGCGGAGGTTGTGGTGAGTCAAGATCGCGCCATTGCACTCCGGCCTGGGTAACAAGAGCGAAACACTGTCTCCAAAAAAAAAAAAAAAAAAAAAAAAAAAAAAAAAGAATGTCGTTTGCAACAGGAATTCCATTTAAAAAGAAAATATATGGTCCCTCAGTGTCCTCAGAGGTACTACTTAAACAGCCTCTTCTCACTTCGTCCTCAGCTCTCCAAAATTTACCTTTAATGCTGCCTTCTAGGAGACATGGCCTTGTAGATACTGAATTTCCTTGCACTTACAGTTTATTTTAAAATCGTAATTATATTCTCTTCCTAAATCAGAGATTGCAAACTAGTGTGGTTGTTGAGACAATGGGCATATTTTATTTGACCTATTTATATTTTAATGTTTAAAAATATGTTGCCAGTCTTAGCATCAAGATACTTTATACAAAGAGATTTTATATGAAATTAGTATATTAGAAGACTTGGTAACATGGGCTTCATATTCCAAGATGGCAAGAATTTGCTGGGATTGAGTAGCAGCTACTGCTAGCAGCTACCTTCTGTGAGTAGCATTAGAGAGGGTATGTTCTATCCACTTGCCACCATCTCAACATGCTTGCCTCACTCATTTGTATTACCTGAGGAATCCTTGTAAAATGTAAGTTGTCAGTTTCTGAAAATAAAATTGAATATGACAAGTTTTTGTTGCCTTTTAACTGTTTTTACCATGAAAGAATCCTAGTCAAAAATTAAGAAAACAAATCTCAGAGTGAACTTTAAAAGGCTGCAGTCTGTAGAGGCACAGAATTTATATTTATTGATGAAGTACATTTAGTTCTTCTAATAATGGAATGATTATAGAAACAGTGCAAAATGCAAGCACAAGAAAAAGGGCAACATATTCTGATGTGGCGTGGGGAATGCTATTTGAGGGGTGGTATGGGAGCAGGTGATATCTAATTAAGGTGAAATTTAACTGAGTAGTATTTTAGCTAAAAACTAATAACTGTGAAGGGAGAAATATTTTGGCTTAAACGTAAAAACTGGTTATAAGAGCACATTGTGCAAAGATCTGCAGGTTAAAAAAAAAGCAGTGATTCTCTTGCCGGGATAAGTAAGAATTAAGAAGGCAGCAAAGCACACTGCCATGTGTGTACCTATGCAACTATCTTGCACGTTCTTCACATGTACCCCAAAACCTAAAATGCAATAAAAAATTTTTAAAAAAGGACAATGATCTATAGTTCAACAAAAAGAAAGAAAAATAGAAAAACCTAAAAAATTATATATAAGCATATTTTGAACTAAAAAAAAAAAAAAAAGACTAGCCGTTTAAGTCAAACATCAAATCATGGTTTTGTATACTACACATATTAAGTTTTGACATTGTTTTAATCCAAAATGAAAAGATGTGGCTATCTCTCTGACGCTGTTACACTCAACCCATATCACAAGCAGTCAAGAAACTCCCAGTGTTTCCTCTAATAGAAAATTTATTGTCCCCAACTTCTCTTTTTTAGACTTGCCACTTGCATATAATTACCAACCTGGATTTCATTGCCCACTCTTAAATGGTTTTTTATTTTAAAGGAAAGAAACAAAGCTTTTCTTACCATTTAAATTGTAGCTTTCAGGTAACATTTCATCAAGAATTTTGAGGAGAAACAACAGATGCAATTTCTGCCCTGGAGCTAAAATGCTAATGGCTATAAATTGGTCCAAATGCATTTCACACTGAAGCAGGGTCTTCTATTTCCTCACCCATAGCAAGAATCATGAATCTGGACATTTCAGACATTATAAGTAATCTTATGTAAGGCTCAAAACTGTTCTTTTGAAACACTTCGGTTTGTGGTTTTAAGCTGCCAGCTAGTAGATTCTTCTATGTAATAAGGAGATGATTTTTATGCTCCAGCATTTCTAGTGTACAGTTGATAAAATAAGAATATATTTAAAATCTTTTTTTCCTTTCAGCTCACTCCAGTTGGTACCACAATATTCACAGGATTTTCAGGAGACAATGGAGCTACAGATATAGATGATGGACCAAATGGACAGATAGAGTATGTTATTCAGTATAATCCAGATGATCCGGTATGTAAATACTCATTTGTAATGTAATTTTCTGAACAGGAATAAAATTAATGATTTTTTAGCTAATATTTATTGTATTATTCAAATAACTACCAGAACCAGATTGGGAATTATACTATTATTAAAAATTGTCTCAAAATTGAATTTTTAATATTTATGCTTTAGAAGCTAATTTTTGGTGATATTTGTAGGTAAGGCTTAAAATGTATTCATAGATATAACATTCCTCTTTTACTAAATTTGTTATGTTTGTGGTCTCCAAAGCATTCTAAACAAATCACTGGAGATGAGATAACAAGTGTCAAACATACATTTTATGCAGCTTAAATAAATAAAAATATTGTTGCTACACCAGCAAAACTCACACCAAGTATTGCTGGAATTGACAAGCCTTTAAAATTCTAGCCATCCACCAATTAAACCAAAGATAGAGAACATGACCAAAGTCACTAGTTAAAGTCTGTTTTGTGATTTTTCTTCCTTTTTTTTTCCATTAGACAATAAGATTTCTATGTTGTTTTTTTAAGCCACGAATCATTTCCTCTAATGATATATTATTCAAAAAAAAGGCAAAATTCAATTTTTTTTTTTTTTCTTTTTGAGACAGAGTTTCGCTTTTGTTACCCAGGCTGGAGTGCAATGGTGCGATCTCGGCTCACCGCAACCTCCGCCTCCTGGGTTCAGGCAATTCTCCTGCCTCAGCCTCCTGAGTAGCTGGGATTACAGGCACGCACCACCATGCCCAGCTAATTTTTTGTATTTTTAGTAGAGATGGGGTTTCACCATGTTGACCAGGATGGTCTCGATATCTTGACCTCGTGATCCACCCGCCTCGGCCTCCCAAAGTGCTGGGATTACAGGCATGAGCCACCACGCCCAGCCAAAATTCAAAATTTTTAACTGAAGCTAGAGTCAGAAACCCGGCCAGCCATCTCCCCACTTTCTTTGCTTGAGGCAACTCCTTAGAATCATATGGGATCCCCAAAGCACGTATAAATAAGCTGTCAAATTAAATGCATCTCTTTTATGTTTACTATTAGAAATATAAACAATGGCGAAGTTAGTATTTTGTCCTTGTTTTTGTCATTTTACGTTGTAGATAAGATTGAAACAAACAAGTAAAACCAAAAACAAAAACAAAACTCTTGGATAGTACTGAGAGAATAAGAACTCACAGTAAGATCTACATCACAAATTTATTAAGAAAATTGTGGGTGCATTTTCTCATTGTATCCTCACAAATCAGTTAGCAGTAGTAGTATCTCTGTTGCATAGCAAAGAAAATCTCATATGTGATTTGCGTCATGTTACAAAACTAATTTTAAGCTGGAAAATCCAGTTTCAGACTATTCTTCCTCTATTGCATTCTCACAGAAAAACTTGTAATACCTACGTTGAAACTTTAATAAATTTTTTGGAAAATAAGTGTGTATATTATATGTAAATTTCATGACATAGCAGGGTAAAGGTCAGATTTTAGAGTTTTTTCTTTTTTGCTTTGTTTGTTTCTTTAAAAGAGGACTTTTATTAGGAAGAGATAATAAAACAAAGAGTTGGGACATGATGAGAATGTGACAGAGAAGGACAGTAGGAAAGGTTACATAAGAAGTGAAGTGGAAAGTGTCAAAGAAATAGCAGGGGAAAGGGCAGCAGAAATGCTTTTTCTTAAATATAGAAACAGCTGACAGAACATTCTATTTCTAAACCACTCATTTTGTTTGATCTTTAGGTATTTTTTAAAATTAATTGTATATGTGTGCCATGTTTTTAGGTCACATTCTATGAAGGTGACTTTCTAATCTTTACTCCCTAAGCTGTAAAAATAAAACCTCCCAGCAAGTATCAATATACCAGCTCATGCATTTTAGGGAAATAATTATTGCATGCATACAAAATATTTAATGTTTAGATATACTTTGAGAACAAAAATATATTACTTGAAAATTATCTTTTCTAATTAAAATGTAGACATTTAGGAAGGCTTAAATTCTTTGTCACCCATGCAGTAATTCCATCTAGATGCCTCTCATTCCAGGGATGTGTAGGCTTGCTGTCCAATATAATATGTAACTGTTACTACCAAAAGTGGATAAACCAATCAGCCACGTGCATTTTCTTTTTTTTCTTTTTCTTTTTTTTTTTTTTTTGTGACAGAGTTTTGCTCTGTTGCCAGGTGCCAGGCTGGAGTGAAGTGGTGTGATCTCGGCTCACTGCAATCTCCGCCTCCCAGGTTCAAGAAATTCTCCTGCCTCAGCCTCCCAAGTAGCTGGGACTACAGACACATACCACCATGCCTAGCTAATTTTTGTATTTTTAGTAGAGACAGGGTTTCATTGTGTTGGCCAGGATGGTCTCGATCTCTTGACCTCGTGATCTGCCTGCCTCGGCCTGCAAAAGTGCTGGAATTACAGGCCTGTGCCATGGCGCCTGGCCTCATTTTCAAAATTACAAATGAATAATAAAAAAAAATATGTTAGCAAGCTAGCACTACTGTGAAATAAAGTTCTCAGCATGGTCTTAGTTTTGTGTACAAAATAATAAGATATCATGACAGTTAACTTAGGACGTACTGAAGGAAAAAGCAATAACCAAGGTACAGCCTTAGGGAGAGAATCCACCATTAGACATTATATAAAATTAGTGTAAACCTCAGGACCAATTTCTTTTTTTGTAAAATCTGTGAGGAAATACACAATAAATGTTATGTTCTGCCACCAGTAAATCTCTACTAAGTCTGCTTATATTAATAGCACCATAATGTGACATTTTTACTCAGAATGCCAAATAATAACATTTCAATAAAAGCAAAATAGCAATAATTGCAATTCAGATGGTGTTCTAAAACAAACAACAACAAGTTTGGGAATAAATAGTTGCTGAACTGATTGACCCAATTTGAAGTGAAAGTGTTCCTGTAGTGTGTATTTTCACACTTCTATGAAGAATACCTAAGACTGGGTAATTTGTAATAAAATAAGCTTAATTAACTCACAGTTCTGAATGGCTGGGAAGGCCTTAGGAAACTTACAGTCATAATGAAAGGGAAAGGGGAAAGAAGGAGTGTCTTACATGGCAACAAGAGAGAGAATGAAGGGGGAAGTACCACTCTGATACCATCAGATCTCATGAGAATTCCCTCACTGACATAAGAACAGCATGAGAGAAACTTCCCCATGTTCCAAACACCTCCCACCAGGTCACTCCTTACATATATGGAGATTATAATTCAACATGAGATTTGGATGGGGCTGCAGAGCAAAACTGTATCATTCCACCCCTGCCCTCTCCAAAATCTCTTGTTCTTTCAACATTTCAAAACGAATTATGCCTTCTCAATAGTTCCCCAAAGTCTTAAATCATTCCAGCATTAACTCAAAGTTCTAGTCCAAAGTTTCATCTGAGATAAGGTAAGTCCCTTAAATCTGTGAGCTTGTAAAATCAAAAACAAGTTGTTACTTCTAAGATACGATAAGGGTTACAGACATTAGATAAATATAACCATTCCATATGTCATAAATTGGCCAAAATAAAGGTGCCACAGACTCCGTGCAAGTCCAAAACCCAGCAAGGCAGTCATTATATCTTAAAGCTCCAAAATAATATAATTTGACTCCATGTATCACATCCAGGGCACACTAATGCAAAAGGTGGGCTTCTAATGCCTCGGAAAGCTCTACTCCTGTGGTTCTGCAGTGTAGAGCTGCTGCAGCTGCTTTCACAGGCTAGCATTGAACGCTTGTGGCTTTTCCAAGCACATGGTGCAAGCTGTCTGTGGATGTATCATTCTGGGATCTTAAGGAGACAGTGGCCCTCTTTTCATACCCCCACTAGGCATTCCCAAGTGGGAACTCTATGTGGCACCTCCATTCCCACTTTTTCCCTCTGCATTAAGCTAGAAGATATTTTCCATGAGGGCTCCACCCCTGCCACAGACTTCTGCCTGGACATTCCCAGAATTTTCCTCTAACACCTAGGTGGAGGCTCCCAAAGCTCAACTGTTGTCTTCTATGTACCTGCAGGCCCAAAACCACATGCAAGCTTCCAAGGCATGGGGCTTGCACCCTCTGAAGCAATGCCCTAACTGTATGTCGGCCCCTTTTAGCCATAGCTATAGCTAGAGTGGCTGGGACACAGGGTGCCATGTCCTGAGACTGCACAGAACAGTGGGCCCTGGTCCCAGCCTGGAAAACCATTTTTCCCTCCGGATCTCCAGGCCTGTGATTTGAGGAGCTGCCATGAAGATCCCTAAAATGTCCTGAAGACATTTCTCTATTGTCTTGGCTATTAATTGGCTTTTCATTTCTTATGCAAATTTGTGCAGCCAACTTGAATTTTCTTCCAGAAAATGGGATTTTCTTTTCTACTACATGGTCAGGCTGCGAATTCTTCAGAGTTTTATTCTCTGCTTCCCTTTTAAAAATTAATTCAAATCTCAAATAATGTCTTCATGAATGCATATGACTGTACACTTTCAGAAAAAGCCAGATCCCATCTTGAATGTTTTGCTGCTTGTAAGTTTATTCTGCCAGATACCCTAAATAATATTCCTTAAGTTCAAAGTTCCAAAAATCTCTGGGACAGGGGCAAAATGTGACCAGTCACTTTGCTAAAGCGTATCAAGAGCGAGTTTTGCTCCAGTTCCCAAAAAGTTCCATCTCTGTCTGAGAACACCTCAGCCCGGAGTTCATTTTCTGTATCACTACCAGCATTTTGGTGGAAACCATTCAAAAAGTGTCTAGGAAGTTCCAAACTTTCTGTCATCTTCCTATTTTCTTCTGAGTCCTCCAAACTGTTCCAACCTCTGCCTGTTATCCAGTTCCAAAGTTGCCTCCACATTTTCAGATTATCATTTTAACAGTACTCCACTATCTCAGTAACAATTTCCTGTATTAATTTGTTATCACACTGTCATAAAGATACTACCTTAGACTGGATAATTTACAAAGAAATGAGACTTTCTTGCCTCCCAGTTCTGAATGGCTGTGGAGGCCTCAGGAAAC